TTTTTTTGGTTTTTTTTTAAATCAGTTTTGGCTCTAAATGTAGTTCTCCTTCTATCTCTCTGGGGATGAAAATAGTTATATAGGTAGTTGTTAAATGCAGCTGAAAAGACCATTTATCACTCTGAATAAACAGAAATCAGGTTCTAGAACCAGACTGAAAGAAGGAAATTACATCACACTCTTAAATAAGGAAGCACTGGGCAGAACTGGATGAGTTGTATGACAAAAATGTGCCCCTCCCCCTCTTGTGAATTGCTACTGAGATTTATTAATGAGATCTGGTGGCAAGGTAGACATATCTAGGTTACTGTCTTAAGGCAGCCTAGTCTTTTTAAAAGTTTCAAAAAGACTGTCCTTAAGCTAAAGGCATATGATTTCACCTTAACAGAATGTGCAATGTGCTTTTTGGCGTAACTTTTTTTTTTTTTAAGAAAGTGACCTTAAATTTAGCAGTGAGAACAGTGTAGGTGCACTGTAATCCAGGATGAATAGTGAGTAAGATAAAATTCACTGCACATTGGCTTCGAATAAAGAATACAGTAACCAAAACCAAATTAGAAGGTTACATTGTTACCATTTTAACTTCTGAGTTTCTTACATTTACAAGCTGTCCACTTTGGATTTGGGAAACATTTCCTTCGTGTTACACATCCTAAACTTGCTACATTATTATTGTGCAAGCAAATCATCCCGAACATGTTAAGTAGTTGATCCTTTTCCCCCTAGTAATCACTATAGGCGGTACAAAACCAGAAGGGTGTTTTCTCAATATCCATGTAACAAATAATTTATTAGGAACTAAAGATGTCAGGATCTGTAGGCAGGAAGGAAAGTCAGACAGCAGTCCTGTCCTTAGAAGATGGAGGGTGGCAGGGAAGTGAGAAGACAGGACTCTGGTTCTTCTGGAGAAGCTGTAGAAGAGGCCCGCCTTCAACTCTAAGACTTCAAGGGTCAGTTCAATTCTGACAGACCCTAGGAAGGAAGAGCTAGACAAGACAGGCCTAGACAAACAAGACAGGCCGTGTTTTAGAAGTCTTAGATGCAGACTGAGGACCCTTTCCTTTCTGAGGGAGCCTTTAAAGAACTTGTGAGCAGTGGGAGATCCTAGTTGGAGCTGCACTTTAAGAATATTGGTCTTAACCTGGTATGTAGGATGGGCTGTTTTCAGAGCCAAGTCACAAAAGCATGGAAGAAAAGTAGACTTGAACCTGGAGGAACGGGCTGTGGAACCTGGTAATTGGATGTACACTGGCTGTGACTTGGGTTAAAAATGACCCTTTTTAACGACGTCAAAGGGCCCAAATAGAAGAATAATGTTTGGAAACTGATTGTGGTAGCAAATGTATAATTCGCTGGATGTGATTGACCTATGGAATGATTTGATATATGTATTAATCCCAATTTAAAAAAAGAAATCAAATGACAAAAACAAAAGACCCTTTCTAGAAGCAGTGAGATCCTTGTAGACAAGAGAACAGTCTTACGGGTGTGTGTGTGTGTGTGTGTATGTGTGTGTGTAGGGGGGCACTCAGGAAGTAAATAGAGAGGAGGCATTTGGCATGTAGAGCTGGAGATGCCAGGAGGCCATCCAAGTGGAAAGATAATCTGCAGACAATAGTAATGCAAAGGTGAGGCTGAGCCTGGGCTAGAGCCACTGATGCTGGAGCTGTCTGCATGTCGTTGAAGCTGTACAAATGGATTAAAACTCTGAGGCGGGATTCTAGGAAACAAGTATGAAAGAAGAACCTCAAGAAACAAATCATTTAGAGCTCCTTTTCTTTTTAAACCCCCTGGAATGGAAAACAAAATCAATTGATGCTCACAGGAAAAGGTGGTTCCTATCTGGGGTTGCTATTTAATTGCACACACTGAAAAAGCTAAAGATTCCTATTCATGGATTCTAGAAAAGTGATCCTGCCCAAACTAGCTGTCATAGTTTTGCCCTTAAATGGCAGAGAACCGTCCTCTCTCCTAATAATTGTAAGGCCGAGCTGGTTTTACATTTGTAAGGGGACAGATCAAACTGGAAGCGCTGCAGCATGAGTTCACGTTGATGGGAGCAGAGTATTTCTTCTCAGTTCAAGGTTTAATCTTAGCTGGGTGCCTTTTTCTCCAAGGAGTCTGGGTATTGACTGTGAGTGGGTTTGGGGAGAGGAGGAGGAGGAGGAGGAGGAGAGTTTCAGGTGGCGGCGTGGTGCACCCACAGCTTACAATCTGCAGAGCACGTCTTTCTTTTTTCTTGTTTGCTTCCAAACCCGTGGCACATTGCCCCCTTTGAGTCTACAGTTTGGAGTTATTTTCCAGAAGAAGAGAACATGCAATTATATTGCTCTCACTTCTCCCATGCAAGCAAGTCGGAAGTTGGGACAGTTTCATAACATGGCCCATTCACAATTCCCCATTGAAATGTAGAGGCAGGTCACCTTCTATGAATACACAAAGACACTATTGTGGTCAGAAGTGAGCTGGCTTAGTGAATACAATTCTTTTTATACTAAAAAAAATTTTTTTTTCTTAAGAAAGCTAACAAATAGGTGATAGAAACAATGATTTAAAAATTACTTCTGCTAGAACATATAAATAATTTTAAGTGCCCATTGAGATGTAAGTTTAGAATTGCAAGGCAGTTTCAGAAGAGGCAATAGTTACACAATCATTCTGTTGAAAGCTAAGATTTAGATGGCATTAGGAGGCTGACACACAGTAATTACTAGTAGTACTTGTTGGCTTGCAGGCAGGTGGGGGTTGGGCCTCTAGAACCTCTCTCCCCCCATCCCCCTCCAGAGCGTTTTCCTGTAATCTGGATGAGGGATCTTCAAACGTGTGCTTTCAAATGACTTAAATACCATATTCTTCTTCCTCTCTCGCCTTTCATTTCTGTCTGACCCCAGACTTCCCCCTGTCTTGCCAGTGCTTGTAGAATGTTTAGGAAAAGCACGATAAACAAATGGGCTATGTACACAAAGGAAGGGTCTGCAATTAAAAAAAAAAAAAGTTTTGTAAAATTTTTTCCAGCTTTACTTGATTTAGGTTCAGCAAATAACACATGAAGAAACAACATTTGCTTTATTTTAATACTTAACTAGAACCAACCCTTCCCCCGCCCCCCCAAAACCACCTCCTAATAATTTCAGTGTCTTAAAAGATGGATTTGTTTTCTTAATCATATATATCTGAGACGGTAGAAAAAGAGTGCCTGATTACTTCATGCTGTCTTTTCAGACCTCTGTGTCGCGTATCACAGCAGCTGACTGTGGGAGAGTCCAAAGCAGAGGATCCCTTGGGGCCTCTCCTTTTCACATGGAAAAGCACGTAATAAGCACTGGGCATGTTCTAGATCCTCAGCTACAGAAAGCCTGTGCCTGGCACCTTATAGGCACTCCGTTTATATGGGTGATGATAATAATTAGACAGTACTATACAGTCGTTCACTCAACAAACATTCACTTGTTGGGCACCGACTCATGTGCCGGCTAATGTGCCGGCACTGGTGATTAAGGGGATTGGGACACAGCCTCTGCTCCAGAGCTCAGTCACTAGGAGGTGACAGATTGTCAACAATAGATTTGGGAGTTGTTGAGCAATTAACAACAACAGAAATAGTCTCTTGGTCCTTCTAGAAGAGCAGACAAGTCTTATTCATTTTTGTGCCCATCCTCAGCATAGTGTCTAGGTGTGCAAATATTTATTTTATTGAGAGAATGGGAAAGTGTTATATGACAAAGTGTGTATGTATAGCTCCCCTGAAAGGGAGTCAAGTTATACAGAGAGTTGGCATAGCATGTCCTAGGCTGTGAAGAAAAAAAAAAAAAAAGCTAAAAAGCTATATTTGCTATAAGCAAACCTATTCACAATCTGGGATAGATTACCTTATTCTAAGGCCACTGATGCTAATTAATTTTTTACAAAACCAAAAACCAGACTCACTGCTATGGAGTCAACCCCCTGTTGATTTCTGAGACTGTAACTATTTACAGGAGTAGAAAGCCTAGTGTATAGCTCCTAGTGGTTGTGAACTGCCAACCATGCAGATTGCAGCCCAACACAATGGTAGGGGGGGTTAGAGGGTTGGGGAACCCTAAAGTGTAGGAAATAGTAGATTAAAAAAAAATTAGCTTTTGTAATCCATGCCTTGCAGCTAGGCAAGACACAAATTACCAGGCATTTCCCAGAGGAGCATGTAAAGAATGTACCTTAAATTTGTCTTTTAAAAGGGAGGGAGGGAGGGAGGGAGCTGCTGCCTGGCTTCTGCTTGAGGCCGGCAAGCTGGCAGAACTTGATTCTTACAGGCTAATGGAAATGAGTGTCTTCATGTACATCCATTTCTCTCGGTAACAATAACTGGAGAGTTTGTCTTCCCCGGGCCAACTCTGAAATACAGCATCCAGATAAATGCTGGGCTTTGCTCTGGTAATCAGGTGCCAATACGATCGTTTCTCATTTAATTTCAGGGTTGGGTTTTAGCGAATATCAGTCTTGCAGTAGAAAGCACAATTATTTATTAAATGACCTTTTTTGTCGTGTGGGAAAAAATAAATTTCCCTTGTGCTTCGTGCCCAACAGAACCCTGCACTGGAAGGTTGGTTTAGGAGGAGGTCAGAGAAAGGCTTGTGTGCTTTGGCAAGGGAACGTGGTTTGTTGTGCAACTGTCAGGCTCTGCGAGAAGTCTGCTTGTGCTGGCAACAGACTATTTCTCACTTTGCTGAAACATCTGAAGTGGTGCATTAGTGTTTCCAAAAAAATTATTATTAGTGTCTGCATTTAAGTACCCTTATGAGAAGTAAAAATTGCATAATGTTAAGAATTAAGTGCAAGTCTACAAGTATGTTTTTCCTATTGAATATGTCCTAAAGTATTTATGTATTTAGAATTAAGTACCTATTAAAGTTGTTTACATGGTCATGTAGATTAGCTTGGCAGAGGCATAAGGAGCCCTGGTGGTGCTGTGGGATAAGCATTGAGCTGCTAAATAGCACGGTCAGTGGTTCAAACCCACCAGCTGCTCTGTGGGACCAAGATGAGGCTATGTGTTCTTATAAAGATTTGCAGTCTCAGAAACCCTGGGAAGCAGGTCTGCCCTGCTCAGTTCTGTGGTCACTCAGCTTAATCGCATGGGCGTAGCAGAGGTGTTTCTGAATTGTTTCCTTGATTCTCTCCCAGCTCCCTGTCTAGGCTATGAAAAGGACTGGTGGACTGAAGGTCCTTGAGCTAAACAGATCGGGAGTCTTCCTGGTGTAAAGCACAATGTCAGTAGCAGGAGTTGCTGCCCAGGAGATTAGAACCCCAATCAAAACTGGATTTCTACATAATGGCCAAGCCATGGGCACGCTGAAGACCTGCTGGGGCAGTCACAGTGAGTTTGAAAAGTATGTCTGGAAGATGATGGTGGTATAGTCAGGGGGGAAGTTGTGCTATTTAAATGAGATGGATTGCATGATCGCTGCTTGTGTGTGACCAAGATGTTTTCCCTTGCAGTCATTTTTTAGCTATTGATCCGCTAGCCATGGCCTACAACCTGAATCCCACTCAGGAGCACCTAACACCTCTTGGTATGTATTCTGAACATCCCAGCAAGCTAGCTAGCCACTTGAAGAGGAAGAGGAAGCTGCCGTCTGCATTAGTGTTGGCATGTCCTGCAGCCTTCGTTTTTACATGAGAAAACATCCTGAACCATTTCCAACAATAGTCTGACCCCTAGTGGCAACAGGTTCTGCAGATAACCAGGTTGTCCCCAAAGTGTTGTAGCCCACCATCCATCTTTAGCCCAGGTCACTGATTCCTAACTGGGATTATTTGTTTAGTGTGATCTTTTGAAATCAAGACTTAAAAGTTCCAACCCCAGCTATGATGCAGGCTTTAATTTTTAGAAACCTTCGAGAAACATCTTAAAGTCTTTCTTCGGAACACGAAATGCGGGTCTGAAAGTGGTAGCTGAGCGCAGTGTACATGTTAATAAACCGTGGGAAGCGTGTGGGTGGTGCTTGAGTCCATTCACTTAGGCATTGTGGTGGTGCCGGCAGTGAGGACCTGGTCTTACCTCCTCGGTGCCCTGCATGCCGTGCATTGTCACATCTCTTAAGTGGCTGGCGTGGTATGATATTCATATAAATTATATGGTGGTGTTCGTCTCCTGTGAATTTTGCACACGTCACAAAGCTTGCCTGAGATGTGTGGGTGTGCACCCTGCACATGGCCAGGAGATAGAAGAGATAATTTGGTCTTTGAACCAAATCATGTGCATTAACCACCTTCTGGGCTCTAATTACACCCATGGTGGTTGCACGGGTGTTCTCGGGGCTGCATCAGTCAAGTCTCCCACTAGCAATTGAGGCAGAACGCGAAAGCCGCACAGTAGCCGAGGCTGCCCCTCACTCCGGTGAGGGGAGGAGTGTTGAACTTTCCCTAACATCCCTTTGGCATTCCAGGACATGCTTCAAAATCTGCTCCGATGAACGGACATCACTTTGCAGCAAATGGGCCATCCCCCAAGTCCAGCTCGCCTCATCTTCTCGTCCCCCCGAGTGAACACTTGGGACCACCCGAAGAGGAGCAGGTGGCGTGTGGCTTCAAGAAGCTTTCAGTAAATGGGGTTTGTGCCTCGACGCCCCCGCATACCCCCATCAGAAACTCCCCTTCCTTCTTCCCCTGTGGCGGTCTCTGTGAGCGGGGTTCCAGGCCCCTTCCCCCACTGCCAAACTCTGAGGACCCCGCTCCGGATGAGGCAGACTGTGAGGTTGAATTCCTGACCAGCTCTGATACAGAACTGCTTTTAGGGAACTCGACGCTTGCTGGCTTCAAATATGGTGGCCCCGGCAGGCGAAGCTTCAGGGGCTGCGGGCAGATCAATTATGCATATTTTGAAACCCCTACTGTTTCAGCAGAAGATCTCAGCCATCTACCCGACCAAAATGAATGTGTCCAGAATTCAGATCCTCCTCCACCTCAAAGCCACCGGAGACTAAGACGATCTCATTCGGGACCAGCCGGATCTTTTAACAAGCCAGCCATAAGGATATCGGGCCACCTACACAGAGCTTCTCCCAACTCTGACGACGACAAACCCGAGGTTCCCCCTAGGGTTCCCATACCTCCCAGGCCAGTAAAGCCAGATTACAGAAGGTGGTCAGCAGAAGTTACGTCTAGTACCTACAGTGATGAAGACAGGCCCCCCAAAGTGCCACCGAGAGAGCCTTTGTCACGGAGTAACTCCCGCACGCCAAGTCCTAAAAGCCTTCCGTCTTACCTCAATGGGGTCATGCCCCCTACCCAGAGCTTTGCTCCGGACCCCAAGTATGTCAGTTACAAAGCTCTGCAAAGACAGCACAGTGAAGGGTCTTCCAACAAGGTTCCTTGCATCCTGCCCATTATTGAAAATGGGAAGAAAGTTAGTTCAACACATTATTACCTACTACCTGAGAAGCCACCGTACCTGGACAAATATGAAAAGTTTTTTAGGGAAGTGGAAGAAGCGAATACCAGCGCCCAGATCGGCAGTGCGCCCTCCTCTGCCGGCTGCAGCGGCGTTTCCAGCACAATGCGAGTGGACTCCAAACCCAAAGCGGACGTAGGTGGCCGTGTGAAGCGCAAACACTTATCCTACGTGGTCTCCCCTTAGACACAGGGTCACAAGGTAGCCGAGGGGACACAGGAGCAAGCGGTTCTCAAATCACATTCCAGTGGGACGGAGGTTCCGGACGAAAGCTCGATGGCAGAGTTGCTGAGCACTCTGTCTCTGGAGAACGGTCGCGAGCGGGTGGGAAGGTGCTGTTACTAGGCTGAGAATCCCCATTGTGCTGTTAATTGGAGCAAGGTCTTTTCAAGTCTATACTTTAAAGATGTGATGTCAGGGAGGGAGGGCTAGGGAAACTTTTATATATGCATCCATTATATACCTGTATATATAAACTCCTGGTATAACCATAGACCATAGTTGCAGCTTAACCAAGTTAGTTACTACCTTAGAGTAATATATATTCAGAAAAATTAAACTCAAGCTGGAGAAATGACTCTTGATAGCCTGAAAATTGAGCAAATGGAAGAAAATACAGTGTGGTTTTAGATCAGAATCTTTTTTTTTTTTTTTTTTAATTGGGTTTGGTGTGTTTGAAGATTTCTGGATTTGGGGCCTGTTATATTTTACTTTTTTTTTTTTTTTTAAATTTTTTGCCACACAGGCCTTTCCATGGGTGGCAGGGTGACCATTCTTTACCAGAACTGTGCCTATTTAGTTTTGAGGGTTTTTAATTATTATTTTTAATCACCCCAAGGGCAGGATGGTTTGGTTGATGGGTTGGGGCAGGGCGGGCGGGGGAAGTAGCAGTTTATTTGGCAAACCACATTACCATTTTTACAGATCTCACAGTTTGAAAATTGCAAATGGAATTAGTGAATTTTGGGTATTTTCCCCTCCTTTTAACTCCTGCTTTTTCTCACCATGAAAATGGCCCGTTACACTTGTGCCTTAGAGAGATGGTGGGGTTTGTTAGACTCACCGGGAAAGGCAGACTAGTTGCCCATGTGGAGAGGGGGGCAGATGGATGCAATAATGAAGCAATTAGCTCAGTGATTTGAGAGTTTTTGTGTGGGAGTGTGTGTTGCGGAGTTTCTTTGTGTTTGTTCGTTTGTTTTTTAGACTGTATTAATAAACAAATACAACACAAGCTGGCCTTGTGTTGCTGGTTCCTACTCAGTATTTCCTGGGAATTGTTTGCTTTTTAAGTAAAACACTTCTGACCAATAGCACAGTATGTCTTAAATACCAGAGGTCACATCAGCATCTTCCTGCTTTTGAAACTCTCCCCGGCTGCTGCCTCCCGGCTTCCCCTGAGTCAGTGGGACACCTAGCTTGTGTTCATATGTCCATGTGCTTTGATGTGTTGTCTCCTACAGAGAAGCACAGCAGAGGTGCTCGCACACGGAGACACATTGCTACAATGTTCTCTTCACAGTTCAACAGGCTGCTTACAGTTTAAACTGCTGAATGATCATTTGAGCTATTTAAAGCTTATTATATTTTAGTATGAACTAAATGAAGGTTAAAACATGCTTTAGAAAAATGCACTGATTTCTGCATTGTGTGTACAGTATTGGACAAAGGATTTTATTCATTGTGTGCATTATTTTGAATATTGTCTTTTCATTTTAATAAAGTTACAGTACTTATTTATGACACCGGTAATGTTGTTTCTTGGCTACATGTGCTTATAAGATGTCTGGAGTCATTCGACATAGTCCCATTTTTAGAAAACCGGGGAAGAGTCTTTGCAGTTTCATAAACACATGAAATTGACTGTCACGCCCTAAAACACAGTCAATTAAGTAGTTGATTGGTAAATCATTTAAAGCCGGTACAGTTAAAAAAAAAGGGGGGGGGGCGGTTTGTATTTATCTTGATGAAAAAGAGCTTGATAGGTTGCTCTTGAAACAGTTATAAACTGGGGAGGAGGGTCCACTGGGAGGAGACTGTAATGGAAGAAACATTCGTGATATATGGACTTGACCTGACTCAATTTGAGTTTTAGGGCCCGTCTTAGTGTGGTCCTATGGGAGACCACCAAAGAATCCTAGCCTGCCCGGCCTCTTGCATAGACGGCAAGTCCTCAGCAAACCAGATGTGCTTCTAGCAGCCTTGGGGGGACTTCCCTCTGTCCTGCTGCCCCCTTGGTGCTCTGGACTCTTCTGAGGGTGGTGGTGCTCGTAGCTCTGCAAAACCTGACTTAGGCCCCTGCCCTGTCCGGTGCCTGGCACACTAGATATGGGAAGTCCCCCGAATCAGACTGACCGGGGTTGAAAGGCCAGCCCTACCGCCTCCTGACTATGTTGGTGAGCAGGTTGTTTTAAATCTGCACCAGCCCTTTTCCCTGTGATCTGGAGGGGTTCTAAGTCAACAGCCCTGCAGGACAGAAGATCTGGGGGGCATGATGATCATACCTACTGTACAGTGTAAGACAACTACTTATAAACCCATCATCCTGAGAAGTCAGTAGTATTTCCAGCATTTTCCAGATGAAGAAATTGGGCTTGGGAAATTGATTTAACCCACATCGGAATATCAACCACACACATCCCCGGCTCTTACCAAATGCAACCCACTGCCATCAAGTCCACTGGCTCATAGTGACCCTCTCTCGGGTTTCTGAGTAGCCTGCCCCATGGACACAGCCAAGGTGTCACTCCCTCTCACGAAGGGCCTGCCCCTTTTTTAAAAAATCATTTAAATTCTTCATTTCACTTGCTCAGTTCAACAATTAAGAAATTCAAGTGTAGCAAACATTTTTATACAAATTAATATGAAATGTTGCATGGAAGTTAACAAATTATAATAATCAAAATATATGACATTGTAGATGCTAATATTCAAAATGCATTTTGCACAATTCTTAAATCTTTCTCCCTTCTAAAACCTAAGAAAGCATTGTATGTTGGAAGGACAGAACTCTCTTACCAAAAACAAATTGGATGGGGAGTCATGATTCTCCTTACAAACACAATCCACTTTTAAGTCATTGACATTGACCATGGAAAATATAAACCCCTGTCCAATAAAAAAAGCCAAATCTTGATTTGGCTGGGGGAGGGGTGTCAAATATGCAATGGTGTGGTAGATTCGTGCTCCAACAGAGTCTGAAATGCAGAAGTACTGTAGAGAGATCTGGACCATTCAAGGAGTAGAGGCGGCCAATGACAAGGAATGGCACCATATTTTCAAGGCCATTCAAGTGGGCTCTTCGTACATGTGCCACTTTGTCATCTGTCTGAAGATATTTCTTAGCGTTTTCCCCTTTGCCAAATTGTGCACAATCTTCTGGGTTAGCAGAAACCTTTTTTTGTTACTCTATGGAATGCAGTTGCAGTACTCAAGCATTTTCGAAAGAATCATTGTATTGGAGGCAAATGCTTCATTTATGGCTAGTTGGGTGAGGGTCAACCACTTTTGTTTTTCAGTTTGGGTCTGGAAATATGAATCCGCAGAGGAGGAAAGCAGCCAACCTGTCTGGGCTTGGCTAGCCAAGCCACTCCTCCACCTGAACAAACGTGATGTCCTTCTCCAGGGACTGGTCTCTCCCGATAAGATGTCCAAAGTCTGTAAGGAGAAGACTTGCCATCCTTGCCTCTAAGGAGCACTGTGGCCTCAAACTCCTTCCAGTACAGATGGGTTTGTCCTTTTAGCAGTCCATGCATGGTACTTTCAGTATTCTCCAGCACCACAATTCAAATGCAGTGATTCGTCTTCCGTCTTCCTTATTTAATGTCCACCTTACACATGCATAGTCACCCCATAGGACAGGGTAGAATGGCCCCTTGTGGGTTTCTGAGGCTATAACTCTCTAGAACACTTCATCTTTCTCCCACAGAGCAACAGGTGGTTTCAAACGGCTGGCCTTTCAATTGAGCAACCCAACTCAAAACCCACTATACCGCAAGGGCAAAACCAACTTTGACCAGCAGCACGTGACTCAAGGCAGTGTATACTTTCCACTCTTGTGACAGAGCGAAGCTCAAGAAACCAACAACCAATTCCTGCCCCCTCCCCTGAGTGCCTGTCTGCCTGGCACAGGGGTGCTCCACATCCCATGCCAATAAAACCACAAATGGAGCAAACTCGCTGCTGTGGAGTGGATGCCGATTCTGAGCAGCCTTATAGGGCAGCTTTACTGGGAACCCCTGTGGGCTCCCAAGACTGTACCAGCATTCTCCAGCAGATTGCTGGTGGTTTCAGACTGCCCACCGTGTGGTTGTGGCAGCCCAAAGCACAACCACTATGCCACCAGGGCTCCACTACCATGCCAACAGAAAGTCTGAAGGCAGCGCTTTGACTCTACCTGCGGCTCTTTTGCCGCTTTCTCGCCTTCATTACAGTTTCTTTGATTGTCCTTAAGGTCATCTTTCAGAGTTCCTCCCTCTTGCCTTTGTATTTTCCCTTGCTTTTACAAAATCGATACTTTTCTTTTCCCCTGGCCTAGCAAATGTCCCCAGCTGTCATGCTAATATCATGCTACTAGAATGTGCTGTTTTATAGCACTGTTTCCCAACTTGTGTCCAAACCAACACCGCAAGTTGAACTCTAAACCGCTCTGGTTGAGGTCAGCCCTGGTCCTGCAGGTACTCTTAGCTGGTAATCAGCCTGGTGCCAAAGGGTACACAGCTGTCTGGTAGTGGCTCCTTAGGACCGTCCATGAGTGCTTTGAGGTAGCAAATCCCTAACTATAAGTTAAGTCAGGAAGTCAGGGCTGCGGTCTCAGCCTCTGACTTACACTCTACGTGAAGGATTCGATCTCCCTGAGCCTCATCAACCTCTCAAACTAAACGAACATTTCACAGTACTGAAGAGATATGACGCTTTCCCTTGGTTACTGCTATCCTGTAGGATGCAGAAGCTGGAATCCAGAGGGCTCATTTGGAAGTTCAAACTTCAGATCATTCTTTAAGTCAAGTTTTATGATGCTGCAGTCATTGTGTATCGCCGACCTTCTTTTTAATAAACTCCAAAAAGTACAGTATAATGATGGTTCTGTGTCACCTATCTAGCTCTCAAGGGATAGCGTCTATTAAGGATGCGCTGAGAAGACAGCTAAGAGACTGTTTCTTCACTGGGAGGCGCCCATAGAACACCTCATCTTTCTCCCACAGAGCAACAGGTAGTTTTGAACTGCTGGCCTTGCAGTTAACAATCCCACTCAAAAATCACTTGGCCACCAAGGGTCCTTAGAGCAGAAGCTCATGGTTCCTAAAGCCTAAAGAATTCATAAAGAAATAGGAGCTTCTTCAGGAATCTTCTAGAGCGATCCACAGTTGCCTAGAGAACTGTATTCACAGGGACACAGTTACAGAGCACGAGGAATATATAAAGGGATTCTCTATTGAGGCTCTTAATTTCATATTATTAATCGCTTAGGGGGTGTGGGACCTTTTAAAATTGAGTCAGAACAGTATTTCACACATAGCATTAAAATTTTTATTTTGAAATAATTACAGATTCATAAGATGTTTCAAAAATCACGCAGAAAGGTTCCCTATACCTATCACCCAGGTCCCCCCAGGGACAAGCTCTGGTCATGGTGGAAGAGTCTGATATCGTTTTTCACTCAGAAACAGCTACTCTCAAAATGGACTTCGCCCGTATTTGTTCTGTTGTTTTTATTGTTGTAAGGTGCCATCGAGTCAGCTCTGACTCACAACAGGACAAAACACCGCCCGGTCCCGCACCATCCTCACAATGGTTCTTCTCTGTGAGTCCATTGTTGCAGCCCCTGTGCCAGTCCATCCTGTGGAGGACTTTGCTTTTTTACT